GGAAAATAATGTGTTTTTTGAACTTTAAACCGCATAAACACATTTCATTACACCAAATACACAAAATAATGTTCTTTTTAGCAACATCATATGACCCCTTTAATACAGAAACCTATACAAAACCAATACAAAATATAGAAACCTTATTTGATCAAAAAACATAATACTGTGAAATATTATTTAATTCTATACTTTTCTGTTTCCTGTTTTAAAATTATAGTTAAAATGTAATTTATTCCTGTAATGGCTTCAGTGTCACATGATCCTTCAGAAATCACTCTAATATGCTGATTTGATTCTCAAGAAACAATTCTTATTATCATTGTTGAAAACAGTTGTGCTGCTTAATATTTTTGAGGTAACCGTGAACCATTTTTTCAGGATTCTTTGATAGAAATAGCAGCATTTTTTTAAATAGAAATCTTTTGCAACAGTATACAGTAAATGTTTTTACTGTCACTTTTGATCAATTTAATGTGTCCTTGCTAAATAAAAGTATTCATTAAAAAATCCTTTTGAACGATAGTGCATGTCCTTTATTATCTAATCAAAAGACAAAATCATTATTGCTTGCTTTCAATTATAATTTCAGGTTACTTTAATGCATTTATGTCAGAAAAGGATTCATGCTGATATTGGCCATAATTCTACTTTGCGTTTTGGAGGGCAATTTACTGTATGTACAATATTCCTGGATTAAACCTTCAAAAATACTGTATGAGGAACAATACCATAGGTGTACTTTCATTCAGAGACTTTCATTAAGAGACTGGCTTATCTTATCTTTTCAACTGACCAAAATAAATAAAATATATAAAATATTTTAATTAAAATGCAGTTTCATAGCCAATAAGAGATATTCAGCCACCATTGGCAGGTGTAGCAAAAAGTTAATTTTGGCCGCTGTGTGCATTTGTGCAGGTGGATTGTGTGAAAGCCTCGTCTCTCAGTGGGAGGAAGGGATTGGTGCTGTGATGGGAGCAGCAGTGCAGTGTGTGTGGGTGTCTGAAAATAGCGCCCACTGCTACACCACAGTACAGTTACAAAACTCCACAGCACTCACAGGCACTGCACCACTCGCTTTCATTACAGGGTTAAAGATAAAAGCAGATAGGGACGCAGGTTATATTTGAATTGACACAACCACCAAGTCCCTTTCACGTTTATCAATGCAGTAAAAATAGTCATGTGCTAGAGCTTTAAAATGGACAGATTTTAAGCTCGTAAGGGCATAGGGTGGATGGAGATCAGCAATAGAAGGTACGTACTGCTAGAGTAGTCTGGTGGGGCGTACATGTCGTTGAGATGTACTGGTCCCGGCTTGGCCACTTTCAGATAGACCATGTCTGAAGTGTTCTTCAGGGCGGCCACAGCCTCCTCATGACGCACATCCTGAAGTATAATGTTATTCACCTGCGAAGGCAGACACACACACGCATGTTACATCGGCTGGTCTCTGAAGCGTGACTCAGAATGTTCACGACAGCACATTTTAAGTTGTGGGAAGGAAGCGACTGGAGCGGAGGCCGGATGGCCCCACACTCGGCGACGACGCTCCATTCTACTATTTATTATTAATAAAAACTATTATTATTATTAATTATATATTATATATTAACTAACAGGCATATTAACTAACATACACTGCAGGAGACAACAATAAATACATATTTAAATTCTAAAATTAAATAAAATAATTATATCAATAAAATAATTACTTACAAATTAATAAATAAATAGCAAAATGCATAAAAGCACATAACAACATTATATTTTTAGAGCGTTATAAGGTATTCCTTTATTTTAAAGGAATACCTTTAAAGAGGGAAGTTGTGGCCTAATAGAGGGAAGTCGTGGCCTAATGGTTAGAGAGTCGGACTCGTAACCCAAAGGTTGTGAGTTTGAGTCTCAGGTCCGGCAGGGATTGTAGGTGGGGGGAGTGAATGTACAGCGCTCTGATTTGATTCTCAAGAAACAATTCTTATTATCATTGTTGAAAACAGTTGTGCTGCTTAATATTTTTGAGGTAACCGTGAACCATTTTTTCAGGATTCTTTGATAGAAATAGCAGCATTTTTTTAAATAGAAATCTTTTGCAACAGTATACAGTAAATGTTTTTACTGTCACTTTTGATCAATTTAATGTGTCCTTGCTAAATAAAAGTATTCATTAAAAAATCCTTTTGAACGATAGTGCATGTCCTTTATTATCTAATCAAAAGACAAAATCATTATTGCTTGCTTTCAATTATAATTTCAGGTTACTTTAATGCATTTATGTCAGAAAAGGATTCATGCTGATATTGGCCATAATTCTACTTTGCGTTTTGGAGGGCAATTTACTGTATGTACAATATTCCTGGATTAAACCTTCAAAAATACTGTATGAGGAACAATACCATAGGTGTACTTTCATTCAGAGACTTTCATTAAGAGACTGGCTTATCTTATCTTTTCAACTGACCAAAATAAATAAAATATATAAAATATTTTAATTAAAATGCAGTTTCATAGCCAATAAGAGATATTCAGCCACCATTGGCAGGTGTAGCAAAAAGTTAATTTTGGCCGCTGTGTGCATTTGTGCAGGTGGATTGTGTGAAAGCCTCGTCTCTCAGTGGGAGGAAGGGATTGGTGCTGTGATGGGAGCAGCAGTGCAGTGTGTGTGGGTGTCTGAAAATAGCGCCCACTGCTACACCACAGTACAGTTACAAAACTCCACAGCACTCACAGGCACTGCACCACTCGCTTTCATTACAGGGTTAAAGATAAAAGCAGATAGGGACGCAGGTTATATTTGAATTGACACAACCACCAAGTCCCTTTCACGTTTATCAATGCAGTAAAAATAGTCATGTGCTAGAGCTTTAAAATGGACAGATTTTAAGCTCGTAAGGGCATAGGGTGGATGGAGATCAGCAATAGAAGGTACGTACTGCTAGAGTAGTCTGGTGGGGCGTACATGTCGTTGAGATGTACTGGTCCCGGCTTGGCCACTTTCAGATAGACCATGTCTGAAGTGTTCTTCAGGGCGGCCACAGCCTCCTCATGACGCACATCCTGAAGTATAATGTTATTCACCTGCGAAGGCAGACACACACACGCATGTTACATCGGCTGGTCTCTGAAGCGTGACTCAGAATGTTCACGACAGCACATTTTAAGTTGTGGGAAGGAAGCGACTGGAGCGGAGGCCGGATGGCCCCACACTCGGCGACGACGCTCCATTCTCCGGCTCTCAGCCGTCCGGTCACAAAAGGAAGGGAGGGAGGGGAAGCTGGAAAGGCGTAGTGCTTTTTCCTTTGTAGGGGCACCTACACACTACAGAAAGCTGAGTGTTTGATGGGTAAACATGTGTCTGATTTGTTTTGAGGATGTGGAAAGTGACAGGTCTGAATT